ACGTATTGGGCAAATCTGCTGCACAAGAACTTTTTAAATAAGAGTTGTACAACACGATAAACATAATCAGTATCGCTGAACCATATATGTAAAAATCGGTAAGTTGACAAATGTGTTGTTATATATTATTTACTACAATAAAAACAAACTTTTTACCAACTATCCCATATATACACAACTGCAAGATAAACATAGGAAAAGCAGTAGACTGCTAACCACAAGGTCAGCAGTTCAAACCCAACAGCTGCTTCTTGGAAACCCTATACAGGGTCACTGTGAGTCAGAACCAACTAGACAACATTTGACAACAACATTTTATAGATGAAGCAAAGCCAGGTTAAAAATAGATTTGCTGTTACTAGAGGCTGCAGGCTACAGGGCCTCGAACTTGCTAGGCCCTGAACACACAGTTCTTGAATTAATTTTAAAAACTGGAAAACACAAGAAATATTCTAACAGAGAGCTTAACCAGTTGCTGTCCACTCAATTCCAATTCAAAAAGACACCATGGTATGTTAGGACTAGAACTGTGCTCTCCAGAGATTCGAATGGCTGAATATTTAGAAGTACATACCAGTCCTTTCTTCCAAGATAGCTTTGGGTAGACTCAGTGAACCACCAATATTTAAATTGGCAGTCAAACGCTTACCTATTTATGACACTCAGAGACTCCAACAGAGAGCTAGGAGGGGCTAGAGGTTCCCTGTATTTGGCATTGCATGAGGCACTACCACATTTGACTGAAGCATGTATGAGTCTAAGGAGCTCTGGTAGCGTAGTGGTTACGAATCGGGCTGCAAACCACAAGGTCAGTAGTTTGAAACTACCAGCTGTTCCGTGGGAGAAAGATGAGGCATTCTGCTCCCGTAAAGATTTACAGCCTCGGAAACCCTGTACAGGGTCGCTATGGGTCAGAACCGACTCCACGGCACAGTCACCAGCCACCATGTGTGAGCCTTTCCAATCAGCAATAAAACAAGAAACGCATATTTGATGACTCAGTAAATGATTTGCATTTAGTTCTCACTTAAGAGATGAAGAAGCTGCTGCCTCTATTGCTTAATAAACTGCCCACAGGATTACAGGGAAGTCAATCACGTCTAAACTGAGATTATCACCTATAATGCCTACTGGAAAGATTTCTTGTAAAGACTATGATATGTTACATATGCACATGATACAACCTTGATGCTGAAAGTGAAAGGCCTCAAAATAGTTACTGATGAAAATCAAAGACCACAGCCTTCAGTATGGGTTGCACCTCAAAGTAAAGAAAACAAAAATCCTCAATAAACAACATCCATATAAACGGAAAAAAGATTAAAGTTGTCTAAGCCCTCATTTTGCTCAGACCAACCATCAACACTCATGGAAGCAGTAGTCAAGTAAAGAAAACAACAATCTTCACCACTGGACCAATAAACAATATCCATATAAATGGAGAAAAGACTAAAGTTTTCAGAGACTTCACTTTAATTGGATCAACACTCATGGAAGCAGCAGTCAAAAAATCAAGCGAAGTATTGCATTAAACAAAGATGTCAGTTTTATGCATGCAAAAGTTGGATAGCGAATAAGGAAGTCTATCACTCTGAGTTACGGTGTTAGAGGAGAATTCTGAATGTACCATGGACTGCCAAAAGAACAAACTGACCTGTGTTGGAAGAAGAACAGCCAGAGTACTCCCTGGAAGCCAGGATAGCTAGACTTTGTCACTCATACTTTGGATATATTATCAGGAGGGACCAGTCACTGTAGAAGGGTATCACGTTTGGTAAAGTGGAGGGTCGGAGAAAAAGAGGAAGGCCCCCCAACAAGATGGATTGGTACAGTGGCAACATCACTGGGCTCAAACGTAGCATCAATTGTGAGGTTGGCCCAGGACCGGGCAGTTTTTCCTTCTGTTGTGCATAGGGTCACTATGAGTTGATATCAACTCAAAGGCACCTAACACTACAACAACAACAAATATGCATGTGAAAGTTGGACAGTGAATAAGGAAGACTGTAGAAGAATTGATATGCTTATAACAAAACACAGTGTTTGAGTCTCTCCTCCCTCCCATCGCCCATTAATTAAGTACACCCATAAGCTTACATAAGGTTTTGTCTGTATGAGAATGAGTGTATAAATAGAGCACAGGAAATTGCACCTGCCCTCATCCCACCCCCCCAAAAATAAGCACTGTACATATTTCAGCTGTGAGTTGGGCTTTGAAAGAAGATGTCTTTGACACAAATTTTTATGAAACAAAACAAAGTATGGCAATACGGGGACTTCCTTTCTTCTAAGGCATAACACTTGTAGTATCACATGATTCCATTTACTTTGGTTTTTGTTCCCAAGGGTCAAAACAATATAATATGTAAATGAGTATGAAAACATGCAGAAAAAAGGTTCCCCACCCCTGGTTTACAAGATAAAATTCAAGTTCCTTTAGCAGGGGGTAGAAGGTCTTCCAAGGTCTCGATGAACCGGTTTCCTTCGCCATGAGCCACTACCTACACATGCTCGTTGTCTCCCCTTCACCCCAGGGTGTTTCTCACCTGGTTGTCCTTGCTCATGCTGTCCTCTCTGTCTGAAAGACCCCTCCTCCCTACTTGTGTCTTCACCGAACTTTTACTCCTTTAAAAATACTCGGGTCAGAAATCATCCGCTCCAAGAGGCCTTTCTCAATAACTGAATCCCAACCCTGTCTGTCTCAGTTGTCCTCCTTTTGTTCTTCTCTGACATTATTTTACAAGTGCTGTTATTGTACTTACCACCATGCCCCTACAATAAGCTATTTATGTCCATCTCTCCAAACAGGCCCTAAAATTCTCTAAGGGCAGGGACCATTTTAGAAACCCACATTGACAAAAGGGAAGTAACCAGCATTGCATTAGTTCTTCTGCCCCAAGAGGGATCCTCTTAAGTCCTGGAAGCTTGTTGTTAAGTGCCATCAAGTCGATTCCTAACCATAATGACCCTGTATAGGGTTCCCAGGAGCAGCTGGTGAACTTGAACCACTGACCTTGCAGTTCAAATGGCTTTGCAGTCTGGCACAGTAACCCACAGTGCTACACCAGGACTCCCCTGGAAGTTCAGAGTATAAAATATTGTAAAAGCAAAGAGATCCTGTGATTTTCTACTCCCCTTTTTTAGATTCCATTTCTGGCCATAACTTGGGTCCTTGTGTTGCCATGGTAACCAACAGTCCCAGAACACTGACTCCTGACAGTTGAGCTGATAGCCCCTGAGACTTGAGTTCTGCTCCAGAGCTGGCATACCTTTTTCATGTGGGCAACCACCCGAGCAGGGCAGAACAGAGTATGAAACATCTGTGAGTGTGTGTGTGTGCTTGTTTGTTCACTCCCAATTATTAGGGCATCGTGGAAAAAGACAGACTTAAAAAATCCAGAAGTTGGTGGGAGGCTAGGTAGCTCAATAGCTGTAACGTTTTGTGAAAGTAATTTCATATCCACTTATCAGGAGCCTTTAGTAGGTTCGGGATCTTTGATCTATTAATCCCACTTAGAAGAATGTAAGGAGAGAAACAGTCAAAGATGTATGGAGATGGATAATTACTGCTGAGCTATTTATTAAAAAACAACAACAAAAAAAAACAACAACACCTGAATGGCTATTAATAAGAAAGTGGTTAAAAATTACAGAATAGCCATAATTTGGTTTATTGTATGCCAGGGTGACAAAACCATTTAAATTCCAACAATTAATATGATACACACACACACATCCACATATACATATATGAGAGGACATAAAAAATTGTGGAAAAATGGAACTGAAAGATAATGGAATTTTTCCATAAGCTGCTGTAAGTTCCCTCATATATGTATGTATATGTGGGTAAGTATGTATGTGTATAAATACAAAGAATACAGTGAAATCTGCCAGAATGTTTTAATAGTGGTTATCTCTGTCTCCAGATGGTAGGATGCAAGTATATTATATATTTCGATCTTTATACCTTTCTATAGGTTTAAAAATTTTATACAACAATCACTTCTTTCACAATGTAAGAAATAATAATGGTTCTTGAACAGTAGACAGACTGAGGATGAGAGGCATCAGGTGGACATGCTCAGTAAGGCTCATTAGTAAATAGTTACATCGCGAAATAGAGTTTTAAAGGGAGGTCTTTACCTCCGCAGCCCTTCATTGAAAAATGCAAAAATAGGATGAAGTTCTATCCAAATAGAAAAAGGAACAGATGTTATTGTTTGAGTAACATGACTTTCTCATTTCTTCTCTTCCACTATTTTCTTTTTTCTTCTTCTGAAAGATGAGGGAGCTCTTGAATTCCATGGCATACTCATCCTCCAGCAGTGACAGTATTGACAAAGAGGACAGCAACTCGGAATCCAACCTGAGCCTCTCTGTGGGCTATTTCCCCAGTGAGGATGCTTTTTATGTAGATACAACTCCCTATGAAGACATGCTCTCTGAGAGTCCTTCAGCTCACTTCCTTCCTCCTGCCCAAGGGATGTGGAGGACTGAAAGTGTACTGAGAACCATTAGGAGACAAGACCAAAGCCAAGATACACCAGAGCAGTATTGCAAACTAAGCATCACCCTGGCCTGGGATGTTGATGTGGGCTCTAACATTTCAGAATCGATAGCTATGTGGGATCTAAACAGACACAACCGATGGATGGGAAAATACCCAGAAAAGAAGACAGAAATGACTCTCAGCAAACTGAATGGTCTTGTGAAAAACCTTGAGAAATTTATAGAAAATCAGAAAGATGATACAGACAGTGAGTTTATTTCCGATGAATCTACTCAGAAGGCAGATTTCCAGCTATCCAGCAGCTCCCCACCAGGTATGACTCAGACCAGTCCTCAGAAACACAGTACTTGTCAAGACTTGACCAACTTCAAACCACCGGAAAATAAAGATGTCACCCAGTTTCCACCGACTCCTCTAAGACTTCAGGAACTTCATGAAATCACTGAGGTGAGAAGTTAGATATACCTCGAAAGAGAGTATGGGTTTGGTGGGGGCAGGTGGGAACCTATGGAGCATTAGTATCTGATAAGAAGTTGAGACAGGCCCCTAGATCTAACCCCCCACATGGTTAGGAAGGGTGGAAGGAGAGCAGCAAGGAAAAGAGCCAAGGGGGAGGAAATGGGGAAAGAACGAGAACTGAGCAAGGGAAGAGGGTAGGAAAGCAATGAAACAGGCTAACATTTACAACCTACAAAAAATATCAGATGCATATTTTTAAGTCTTAGCAAATACTTAAAGTTTGTACTAAGTTGTGCTATTTTTGGTAAAAAGGATCTGAGTTCCAAAACTGTGTAAAAAATTGACACCCTTCTAGGTTGTTGTTGTTAAGTACCATCAAGTCAATGCCGACTCACAGCGACCCTGCTCAAGGTTTCTGAGGAGCAGCTGGTGGGTTTGAACCATGCGACGACCTTGCGGTTCTCATTGCAGTGCTGATGCCATACTAGGAGTCTTGTCTAGGTTACATGTATCTAACTCATCATTTGTTTTCTTGATAGATAAGCCAGACAACTGGTAACCAAAAGGCAAGTACTTTAGAAACCTCTTCAAATTCATCAGGTCAGGCAGAGAAGAAGGACAATCCTTCCAATACACAAACCTTATCCTGTCTAAACTTTGGGTGGGTCTTCCGCTGGCTGAGGCGGCAAGTGTTGTCCTCACTGCTGGGGAGAGACCACCCTGAGAAGGCCACCATCAGCCCCCGTTGGGTGGCACTGAAGGAAAGGATCTCTCACAGAAGCATGAGAATTCAACCTCAAGAATGCCTCCATTTAGTACACCCCATACATCACCAGCTTTCTTAAGTTTGTGACAGCTTGTTATATAATTGCTACCATTTTATTTTTTTAAATAAATAAAACAGATATCCTTATGAAACATGCCTTCCTCCTCTTGTTTACCATCTTTACTGAGGATGAGTACATACATAATTCTAGAAGACTGAAATATATTCTCGTGGAATTTTAAGCAGTATTATTCTTCCTAATTTTTTAAAAGTGGTATTTCATCCTATTTTGACTATTTTATGTATTTTAACCTCTTTTATCATTCACTCAAATCCAGTTTTCACAAGGTAGCAACAGAGCCAATGTAGCAATGTGGCTAAGATGGAACTTCTGGAAGCCAGTGAACATGGAGGCTCATGTTTCGTAAGGCACTTCGGAAGTGACTTTCAATCGATAGTGTTTTGAGAGTTTGTTTGGACTACAGTCTTGATAGTCCTAGGAGTAGACTGGTTTTTACATGTGTTGTCTGGGCTAGAAGGTGGCCCTCTTTAGAGAAATGTGAAGACTGAGAATGCTACTTAAACTTATTTTTTTTTTTTTCTGTTTTTTTTTTTTTTTTTGCTGTCTAGTCAATTCTGACTCACAGAAACCCTACAGAGCAGAGAACTGCTCCATAGGATTTTTTTCTTTTTAATGTTTTATTGTGAATTATGTGATAGTTTCCATGGAAGAACATTAATTTTACATTCATTGCCATGGTTACAATCCCCTGCATGCATCATCAACCAACCAAAGGGTATACACTACAAGCCTGCACTCCAGTCGTCAGCACACAGCAGCCCCTCTCCCTCTCTGGATCTAAAAGCCCCAGCTGCTCCATCTCTCCACATCATCATCTCTGTCTCCCTCTCTGGCATCACTACTTCTCTGGGTGGGGTCTCACTCTCCGTTCTTATCCGTTGATGGTCCCAGAGACCTCTGCTCCTAGACTGGAAAGTTAATCACTCCCCTCCTTGCTCTAAAATGTCTACCTTTACATTTCCAACCCTCACAATCAGTCCTGATAACAATTATTCACTATGGTATCACAAGAGACCGATCTGCATTTCATTTCATCAGCCTCGCCTAGACAGAATGGGTACTAATCACTGGAGATTCTACCTTCCTTCGTGCCCTCTGGATCTAGGTTCCCTCTTGAAAGCTTGTAAGCCACTCACTTCTTGCCTTTGTAGCCCCACCCTCAGGCCCCATTTTGGGTAGCCAATTTCCAAGTTGCCCATCCCTGTCTACTCTGTGTGTGGAGGGGGTGGGACTGATCCTTGCTGTAAGGATTTGTTCCCTTTTTTGAGCTACTACATCCGTAGGTGTAGGTCAAGTTCATCAAGTTGTATCAGATTACTCTTTTGTTCTTCTTTCTTCTAGCTGAGCTCTGATCATCCAGCCATTGAAGCCAGGTCAAGTGGGTATTATCTGCAAGTGTGGGTGTTCTTGTGCATATGCCCTCTCTTCTTATCAGCTGGACGCTTAACTCTATACTCTAGTCCTCTGTGGCTATGTCACTGACTCTGGGCCCAAGAGTCCCCAGGTCTTGCCACACTGCTGACCAACCAGGTCTCCACCCGGGTTCAAAGAAGTCTGTTGAACATTGTAGGGCTTAGCTTGCCGCTTCATTGCTATTTTTCCCTCACTTCCCCTTATCGGTGATGAAAGTGGTCACCAATCAGAGCGTGTATTCCCAGAGTCTTAGTCTTGGAAGGGGGTTTGCACTAAGAGGAACCGACCACTTGTCTTGATGTCTCCTGGGCAAGCAACTTGTTTGTTCTTGTAGTAACAGTCGGTCTGCCTCTATTGTTTTGATTTTTTTCCTGTTGGTCTTTCTTTCAAGAAGTATCTTCTGTTCTTCTAGCTGCTCCAGGCTGGTCTACTCGTCCTTTCAAGTGGAAATTTCCCATCTCTGAAGATCTGGATGTGGTTCATACTTAAACTCTTGAAGCCTAACTTTCCTTATCCATAAGACAGGAAAGATAATAATCTACACCTTTCATAGACTTCTTATGAAAATGAGATAAAGCACTTGATAAATTCCATTATTCATCCTCCTGAAGACCTCCCCAGGGATATTCAAGAGGTTTTAAGAGTCACCTCTCATTCAGATATTTCACACAAAGTAGTAGGATTTCTAAGGAGCTCTGGTAGCGTAGTGGTTATGAACTGGGCTGCGAACCTCAAGGTCAGCAGTTCAAAACTACCAGCTGTTCCACAGAAGAAACATGAAGCTTTCTGCTCCCGTAAAGATTTACAGCCTCGGAAACCCTGTGCAGGGTCACTATGAGTCAGAACCGACTCCATGGCACATAGCCACCACCAACAGTAGGATATCTGACATGTTTTTGCTTATTGTTCAGTTTTGTTTAAACCTGCTTAACAGCTCTGAACTTGTCTCTAAGCTTCAAGCAATATACTTACTAAATCTTTACCATAAAGTGGGCTTTAAATACTTTTTGGGGTTAAGTGTTATGCTACTTCAAAGAAAAGTGAGACAAAAAATAGGAAATAGGAAAGGGCTTCAAAGAGTTTGTGGAAAATGCAATTAAAAGGTAATGGAATTTTTTCCAAGAACTTTTTGAAGTCCTGTCATATTTCAGTACCGTTCTCATTCATTATAATGGAAAATATCCTTTGAAGTTACCAGCTGCATGCCAAGCTTTGTGCCACACACGGTACAGGGTTTGTCTATATATCAAAAAGACAAAGAATAATAGATGTGGACAATGAAAGATAATGGCTTAGCTGTAACCATAAACCTCTCATAGAATTATCAGCACCGATGGTGCTGTGGGTTAGGTTTGGGCTGCTAACTGCAAGACTGAGAGTTCAAACTCATCAGCTTCTCAGCAGGAGAAAGAATAAGGCTGTCTGCTCTGAAAAGATTTAGTCTCAGAAAGTCTCCACAGAGTCATTATGAGTCAGAATCTATGAGATAGCAGTGGTTTGGGTTTTGGTTCGTAAAATCATTGTAATTGCCATATCACAGGCTGTTATTAAGTGCTGTCGAGTTGGTTCCAACTCATGGTGACCATGTACAGGGTTTCCAAGGAGTGACTGGTGGGTTTGAACCATCTCAGTTTGTCATACTGAGGTGGCTTGTGTGTTGTTGTGATGTTGAAAGCTAAGTGATAGGTATTGGAAATACCAGCAGGGTCACACATGGTGGACTGGTTTCAGATGAGCTTCCAGACCAAGAGCGACTAGGAAGACAGAGAGGCAGCTTACTTTGTTTAGCCACTGAAAGCCTCATGAATAGCAGCAGAACACTAGAGCTGCCTCCTCAAAGGAGAGTTGACCAAAATGGCGTGAATGGAATAAAGCTTCTTGGACCTCCGTTTGCTAATGGGACACAATTCAGAATGAGGAAAAGCTGCTTCAAATATCTATTAATAATCAGACCATGGAATGTACAAAATACGAATCTAGGAAAATTGGTAGTTGTCAAAAATGAAACAGAACACGTAATAATCGATAGCCTAAGTATTAATGAGCTAACC